CTTTACTGTCTTCATATATATAATTTAAGCTCACAACATTAAGGAATCTCTGAAATTTATTTTAACAGAGAATAAGCACCTTTAGGTTGAAGATCAAGTTCAGGTTCTCGGTGTGAGCACCTGAAAAGGTTCAACAATTTTTATTACACCACCAATCAGAGGAGAAAATGCCATTCTTTCCTACACCGCTTTCTGCTTGCTCCTTAATTACCTGGCCCAAGTGCAGTGTGACCACAGATCCAGCTCAGCAGATTTCAGGAATCTGAAGAACACATGAACACATTCTCCAGGAAGGTGTGGTGTGTGTTCTAGTGTATGTGGGAAGGGAGGGGTGGAGGAGGACGTTTTGATTTCAACTACTTCCTTCTCCAGTGGCCCAAAAAGGGTAGAAAAACACAGAGAACTGCAAGTATCTTTCTGGGGCCCTGAATCAACTCCTCTCTGCCTGGTGCAGTGGCAGCATAAACTGCATTGATGTCTCAGCTGTCACAGTTTAAAATGTTTTAAACTTAAAAACTTTGCACCCCAGGCTGCAAGCAAACCATGATGGAACTGAGCCCAAAACATCTTTTAGATAGATGGCTAATCAAGGCATCGTCTGACTATGAAGCTGACTCCAGAACCAGATTGGTCTTGTTTACCAATACCTGAAGAAAAGAAAAGGTTCACTTTATTATCATTATCAGAGATGCCAGCAACTGAGTATTAATCACTCTTAACATGGTTTTCATGCCACTGACTGGTTGTCATGGACAAATAAGCAGCTGAGAATAATACAAATGAAAAAGATTTTGAAGATCACTTAGTCCAATCCTCTCATTTTACAGAGGAAATGGAAGGTTCACATTAAGTTACCAAAACCAGAAATGATTTCTGACAAAAGTGGACACAGACCCCAAGCCTGCTGCCTCCCACTCCAGTGCCCTACCCACTATGCTGTGTTTCAAAGTCATGAAGGCTGCATGAGATCAGAGTCATTTTTGAAGGGGCAGAAAAAGGGAACTATCAGAGGGCAAAAAAGGGCAAAACTAGCCTTTTAAATTAAATTTCCATGAGCACTTCACCTAAAAACACTCTTTCATATTTTCATTTATCATCATTAATTATACTTCAAAGATGGACAGGAAATGTCTACTCTTCATCACAGGAACCAGTCCCAGCTGGGTGAAAACATGGACCTTCCTGACCTGCTACCGGCAGGGCTGTGTCTGACTCACACTCCACTGCTCCTTCTCACTGCACATGCCAGTAACCCACCCAAGGATGAACGCCAGCCTTCTTGGTCTTTTCCATCTACAACGGACTTCCCAGCAACCTCAGAGAGCCATGGAGAGCTACCACACTGCCCTCAACTTGGAGCGAAGGCAAGTGAATCAGAGAGAGCCAGCAAGGCCTCTCACCTCATATCCTACTGCTCCAGGCACCTCAGCTTCTGTGCCATTCCCCAGGTTCTGTGCCCTGCTGTTCCCTCTGACTAACACGATGTTCCCTTGGATACCCATGTGCCACTCCATCACTTCCACTCAGGTTTCTGCTCAAAATATCTGCTTGTCAGAAAAGCCTTACATGATCATTCCATCTAAATAACATGCCCTGATATTCCCCTTCTCCTTACCCTGAATTTAATTTTCATCATAATTCTTTAATTACCTAAAAGTACTGATTTGCTTATCATCTACTGATGCCTCCCCCCTGAGATTTATAAGCCCCCTGAAGACAGGATATGTAAGATGGAGGTGTACTTAGACACACGTTGCCTCCTCGCACAACCAAAAGAAGGATAACAAATTTTAAAACAAAAAATACACACAACTGCTAGAAAATCAAACTGTATGGAAGTCCAACAACCAAGGAGTTAAAGAAGAAACATTCATTCAAATTCATAGGAGGGGACTGTCAGTCGGGGCTGAGAGGACTCGCCTCGAGGCAGGAGCTGGAGGACCAGGCAGTCTCACATTTGTGTGCAGAAAAACCAGGAGGAAAAACTGAGAAGCGAGACAGACTGTGCAGCCCAGGGTTCCGGCATGGGGAAATAAGGCCTCAAAGCCTCTCATTGAAAATACCTGGGGGGGTTGAGGCAGAAAGAGAAACTCCCAGCCTCACAGGAGAGTTCATGGAATAGACCCACAGGGTCCTAGATCATATACAAACCCACCCACCCACCCACCTGGGAATCAGCACCAGAAGGGTCCAATTTGTTTGTGGGTAGCAAGGGAAGTAACTGAAACCCGGCAGAGAGCAGAGCAAGCGGCACTGTTCCCTCTCGGACCCCTCCCCCACAGACAGGGCCACGACATAGCAGCGTGGGTGGCCCCTCCCTGGTGAACACCTAAGGCTCTACCCCTTACTATGTAACAGGTGTAGAGAGACAAAAAATATGACCCAAATGAAAGAACAGATCAAAGCTCCAGAAAAAATACAAGTGAGTGATGAAGAGATAGCCAACCTATCAGATGCTGAGTTCAAAAAACTGGTAATCAGCACGCTCACAGAAATGGTTGAGTATTGTTGTAAAATAAAGGAAAAAGTGAAGGCCATGACAAGTGAAATAAAGGAAGATGTACAGGGAACCAACAGTGAAGGGAAGGAAACCGGGACTCAAATCAATGGTTTAGACCAGAAGGAAGAAATAAACATTCATTGAGAACTGAATGAAGAAACAAGAATTCAAAAAAGTGAGGAGAGGCTTAGGAACCTCCAGGACAACTTCAAATGTTCCAACACCCAAATCATAGGGGTGCCAGAAGGAAAAGAGGAGGAACAAGAGATGGAAAACTTATTTGAAAACATAATGCAGGAGAACTTCCCCAATCTGGCAAAGGAAATAGACTTCCAGGGAGTCCAGGAAGCTCAGAGAGTCCCAAAGAAGTTGGACCCAAGGAAGCACACACCAAGGCACATCATAATTACATCACCCAAGATAAGGAGAGAATCTTAAAAGCAGTAAGAGGAAAGAAGAGTTACGTACAAAGGAGTTCCCATAAGACTATCAGCTGATTTCTCAACAGAAACCTTGCAGGCAAGAAGGGGCTAGAAAAGAAGTATTCCAAGTCATGAAAGGCAAGGACTTACATCCAAGATTGCTCTATCCAGCAAAACTATCATTTAGAATGGAAGGGCAGGTAAAGTGCTTCCCAGATAAGGTAAAGTTTAAAGGAGTTCATCATCACCAAGCCCTTATTATATGAAATGTTAAAGGGACTTATCTAAGAAAAAGAAGATAAAAAAACATGTATAGTAAAAGGACAGCAAACTCACAATTAACAACCCTACCTAAAGCAAAACCAAAAGACACTTAGCAAACAACTAGAACAGGAACAGAACCACAGAAAGGGAGATCACATGGAGGGTTAGCAACAGGGGAGTGGGAGGAGGAGAGAGGGGGAAAACGTATGGAGAATAAGTAGCATAGATGGTAGGTAGATAATAGACGGGGGAGGGCAAGAATAGAATGGGAAATGTAGAAGCTAAAGAACTTATGACACATGGACATGAACTAAAGGCGGGGAATGTGGGTGGGAGAGGGTGTGCAGGGTGGAGGGGAATAAAGGGGGGGAATGGGACAACTGTAATAGCATAATCAATAAAATATATAAAAAAAAAGAAAGTTTGAGCCAAAACCGTGGGTGTGCATTATACATAGGAGCTCACTATACACTGCAAAATATAGTAAATGCATCAATGTACACTATCAGTTCAGCAGAACTCTAAATTAGCAAACAAACAAAATTGAATGAAGAATTTGTGTGACATTTTGACATGCAATTTGAAAAAAGCAATACTGATGCTGATTTTTTTTAATTGCTGTATCATTCAAATGGATTGTAAGAACAGGCATAATGTTAGAAAATGGTACTGTTCTAGAAAATCCTGAATAACTGAGATTATAATCAATTTTGCAGAAAATTTATTTTTATAAACTGTACATTAATACCCATTTCATGCACACTAAAAGACTGTCTCAATAATACAAAAATGTTTCCAGTTGTATCACATGATTCCAAGGAACACCATTCTCCCTCTTAGGTCCCACCTACTTATTCCCTGATGACTTCCAAGCCTGACCTGTATGTAGTCAGACCTCTTTCCTGAACTCCAGATCCACATTTCCTAATGTCTCACTAGATACATACAGAAGAAACGCATAATTTTAAATACATTTTCTGTCAAACTGAATTCACCGTCTATCAAAATTCATTCCTTCTTTCTTTACCTCTGGCCTGGACAATCTGCTGTCTAAGCCAAAAACCTGGAAAACATCCTCGATTCCTCCCTTCCTTGACCCTGACCACCCACCGACCAAAGCCTCTTGACTCAGTCTCTGAGTGCCTCACCACCACCCAGCAGGCAGGCCTCTGCTTGGCTTGGGTCCTCCTCATCTCACTCAGCCTTGCCAACAGTAGCCATACTGATTGCCCTCACTCCAGCTTCGCCCCTCTGCAACCCTAACTCCACACTAATGCTAACGTTGTCATCCCAACACAAAGATGTGACATGTTTTCTCCCTTGTCCAAACTTGCCACTGAGCCAGGACCACCCCGTTCTGGCCCCTGCCCATCAATCTAGCCTCTTACTCTGCACCTCTGCACCACACCTCATCTCGTCACCCACCACACAGAAACTCCCTCAGCTCCTTGAGCCTAACTGCTATGCCACCACCGCACTCTGCACATGCTTCCACTACGGCCACATTATGACTACTGAAGGCCTCATCCTCTTACTCCGACACCTGACACAGTACCTAACAGACTTTCAAATATTTGCTGAACAAAATTTCACAAGAGTGAACAAAGCCACTGGGTTTCCCCTGCCCTTTCCCCACTGCTCAAAGGTACGTACAACATGTCTCAGGTATACAAAATTAAGTGAATCTGTCCTACACTGACCTCACTACTGCAGATACAAAATGCTGATCTTAAAACTCTTCCTCAAGAAAAGGAAATAATCACTTCTACAAACAAGCTATGTACAAGATAAAGTTTCCTCAGGTATAGCCTTACCTGTAAAATGTTAGTAAAAAAGTCATGGTAGAACATGGGCCAATCTTGACGGCCAATGTCAACAATAACTTTGCAGAGCTTGTTCCGGATAAAGTAAGGTAAGGTTTTGTGGTGAGCCAAAAGGAGTTTGGGTAGGCAGCTACGGATTTCCATCTTATCCTGAGATGGGACCCCAAGCCACATTTTATTGATCAGATTCTGAAAAACAAACATATATCTTAAAGTTAGCAATCTATACATAAAAATAACTGGTTTACATTCAATGGTTAGCTATAGCACCTCAATTAAGAAACCCTGATTTTAAACAAAAGTTTGGGGCAATTTGGTAACAAGAGTAATAAAAATATTCAGATCTGTAATGCAATGATCCCATTTCTAGAAAGAGCTGCTAAATAATTTAATGGAGACAAAAAGCTGTATATGTAAAAATTTTCCTTTATGTCACTGTCTCTAACAGCCATCAAAAAATAATGACAGAAATGTTAATGTTCAAAAATAGGAGAATGGCTTGGTGAATAATGGTATAACCACTTACAGGAATATAATATAAACTGGGGGGAAGCAGAATACAAAATGGCATGAGCAATATGATTATTATAATTAGGTTTTTAAAAAGTGTGCATAGACCCTGGCTGGGTGGCTCAGCTGGTTGGAGCATCGTCCCATACATCAAAAGGTTGCAAGCTCGATCCTCCATCAGGGCGAATACAGGGTGCAACCAAGTGATGTTTCTCTCTCACATCAATGTTTATGTTTCTCTTTCCCTCCCTCTGTCTTTCTCTCTCTCCTCGCCCCTTCTTCTCTCTCTAAAAAACAAATCATAAACATATCCTCAGGTAAGCATTAAAAACAAACAAACAAATAATTTTAAAAGTGTGTATAGGAAGACAAAAATAGGAAGAGGAGCAATAAAAGTGACAATTTTTGTGGTTAGAATGAGAGTATTCTAGATACCATCCCTCCTCCCAAACTTTTATCTTTCCTTTTAAAATGACAATGTTGAGGGAAAGTTACATGCTACCACAAATGACCTACCTACCTAACCCCACCTTACCTTTGAGTTGAAGATGAAAAAGTGCCCAGGAATCCCAGACACCTGGATAAAGGCAGCATGTGGAGAAGCCCTGAGCTGAATTACTACTGTTTTCCTGCCATGTGTACGTCAAAGCTAAAACCTAGTGCCAGTGACATGGTGACATGACTACAAAATACTTTTCAGAACAGGGTAAAATTATCTGACAACTTACCTCAAATACTGTCAAACTATACATCATTACATAGTCATTCCTGGTGCTGGAGAGAAAATATAGGCAGAATCTCCAGGCTCCTATTTGCTGGGCAAAGTTATTAAGAAGCGCCTCTGGAAAAGTTAAAATAGCAACAAAAGAAGGCTTTGAAAATACATGAAATTAATATAAGTCTGGGCTGTCTTATAATTTTTTAAACGTGCTTCCCTCCATATTGTTAATGCTGTCAAAACCAACTATAAAATCCAGCTGATTTTTAAACATAGAAATGACAGACCAAACAATATTTTTCCGACTCAGGGGTGACCATGAGCACCGACGGTGTGCTCAACCATTTTAAAGTCAGTGAGTTTGCTAATGCACACGTTTTTTAGGCAGAGAAACTTTCATTGTTAAAGTTCTTACTTAACCTTAGGTGTGGATAAACAGTTTTAAGATTATCATTTCACCTTATAAATGATGGTTATTGTTAACTTGTTTCCTCTGGGGTAGGAGATATACAGAGTCTGGCACAAATAACACCACTTTTTTATTACAAAATATTTTATTACAAAATCATAAGCATGTAATTCTGTAACATAACAATATCGCACTCAGGCACACCATATGAGATTTTAGGTGAAATGTTCAAATTAAAACTATAAGTTATTGCACCCATATTATTACCCTACCAACTGCACTCAAGCAGGCACTCTGCCGGACCCTGTACACATCTCTCCCCCAATTCACCCACACTGTGCACGCGAGCACAGTGATGGCTCGAGAAGCAGGAAAAGATTAAAACTAACCTTGTAAATGAAGAACAGACAAAAATGCAAGTGAATTCAACATAGCTAATTCTCTTCATTTGGTTCAGTTTTATTTTTAACTACCACCCAAAAAAAGTAAATAAGAATAGCAATTATGGGAGATGCCAGGCACAACCCTGTCCACATCAAATCAGTTAGAAATGGTTTTCCTCCTCTTTAGGCTGCTGGTAACCTCAGCCAGAACCAAAGAAAGTAAGCATTAAGAGTCTGGACATGCTGCCCTTAGCCATCTTAACCTGCTGTACTGGCCATGAAATGTAACAGAAAAGGGGTTAAAGTACAAAAGCAACAAACCTCAGAGATTCTAGAAAGCCCTTGGAAAAGCAGGAAGTGTAGCAGCCCACTCTAATCCTAAAGTCACTGCTCTGATCCTATAACTTAAGCTAAATGCACCAAGATAGCCTCGTTAAAAATTCCTTAGAAGGCCCTAGCTGGTGTGGCTCAGTTGGTTGGAGCGTCATCCCGTAACCAAAAGACAATGGCCAGTCAGGGCCACTCCCCAGGCCGGGTGCAGACACACAAGACCCCCCTCTCTGTACACAAAAGATCCCCAGCCTGGGCAGATACAGGAGTCAACCAATCGATGCTTCTCTCTCGCATCAATGTTTTTCTCTCTCTCCCTTCCTCTCTTTAAAAGTAATGGGGGAAAAAAAGCCCTGAATCGTGTGACTCGATGGATTGAGTGCCAGCCTGTGAACCAAAGGGTCGCTGGTTTGATTTCCCAGTCAGGGCACATGCCTGGGTTGCAGGCCAGGTACCCAGCTCAGGGCGGGCGAGAGGCAACCACATATTAATGTTTCTCTCCCTCTTTTTCTCCCTTCCTTCCCCTCTCTCTAAAACTAAATAAATGAAATCTTAAAAAAAGAAAAAAGCAATGGAAAAAAATGTCCTTGGGTGAGGATTAAAAATATATATATTCCATAAAAGGAAGCTGATGGTCTGCTCTTATAATTAAGTAAGAGTTTCTAGAAATCCCAGAGGTGACGTCAAATCAGAGAGAATGAGCTCTGGCTGGAAATGAGGAACTTGGGGCTCTGTTCTAGACCTTGCCACCAATTCACTGAGCCTGATCCCAAGCAAATCACTGCTCTGTGTCGATGCTTCAGCTTCCTCAGAACATTGTTAAAACGACTAGGTTGTCTCTTGAGGTTTCCTGCTAACAGCTCTTATCTCTAGAGCACTAATAACACATCTTCGGTGGAGAACACATGGAGCCTCTCTCCCTTCTCCCACCTAGCTAGGACGGCCTTAGTTTATCCTATGACATCAAAAATGAAACAAGAAGTGGTTCCAGCCCACACACTGGAATAAAGCTGAACTAAGACATGCCCCCTACATAGAACCAAATCCCAGCTTCCCCTTAGCCTTCATTTAAATTAGACATTTGTAGCATCTGATTACTTAAAGATATTTTTAAATCAGATGAATACAAACATGTTCAGAATGTTCCACTTTTAATTTGTGAATGCTGAAGGTGAACAATATTTGCTTTGTAAACAAAAACTTAAGATAAAAACCAAAAACCATTCAAGTATAAGTGAAAAACAGGACTTCAGAGAAATTAAGTGTTCAACCATAGTAGAACTGATGTAAGGGAAAGACCCTTTAGCTTCTTTGGTAAAAATCACCAGTGATGTTTTCACAATAAAGTACTTGGGTAGCATAAAATTAACGGGGATCACCCTGGGAGCAGGAGAAGGATTGGGCTATGTATTAAGAGAAGATCTAGGGAAGCAGAGAAAATCCTCTAAGCCAAATGCCCGTTCACCTACTGGGCTCAGCTGTCAGTACCCCTTGTTTATAAATGCTCTGGTTCTCCACAGGGAACTCCCTCAGAAAAGAAAGGCATGTACAGGGCAAGCCCACAAGAGACCACCAGGCTTAAAATTAGAATAAATAAGAAGTAGGCATCAACCAGGAGCTGATGTGCTCCTCAAAGGATGCAAGGGAAAATGGACTGTAGTCAAAGGCATACTGGCCACCTAGAAATCCAAAGCCTAACCAAGCTTTGGACCAAAGGCAGAAGTCAGCTGTAACACCTAACTTGTCAAGTGGTAGAGAAGCCAAGTGGGACAGAGAAACAGGCCTCCACAGATTTCCACATAGAAAAAGACGGCCAAGGAGGTAAAAGCGATGAATGTAAGGTTGATACAGACATCTAAGGGAAAAACCTTTAGGTCTGAAGAGAGAAAAATGTTTCATTTTCAAGTTCAGGGGTTAAATGAGGACTGGGAGGATAAAGGGTTATTCTGGGACCAGAGTGCAACACGTCCCTCCGGCAGATATCTGGTAACCTGAATACACTTCCTAGTTTAAAGTATACTTTAAAGAATATTGTTCATGTCAATGAATATAAAATTCAAAGAAGTTCTAAAAGGTGCTGAGGTTCCCAGAAGACCTGAAGTAAATACACCTATATCTCTCTGTTGTTTGAAGTCTTCATTTATCAAAACTTGCAGAATGGGTAAAAAATCCAAGATAAGGAAATGGTAAGGAAAAAGAAGCAAGAAGCACCCAAAGGCAATACCAGTTAAAGGATTTCTGAGCGCTAGATGAGGTTCAGGTTAGATATCTACACAACAAAAACATACCCGTTTTGATACTTTAATGAACTTTTTAAAATTAATAGTCACAGACTTCTTATAAAGTTCAACAGTGCTGAGTTCAGACCAAAGCAGCAGGAGGGGTTTCCCACACTTCACCGAAAGAAAGAAAATCCACCACTACGGATCACAGGGGGCTCTATGGACCACACTATCGCCCTTGTAGCTAGATTTGCAGACCTCACCAGCCACCACCCAGCAGGACCAGAGCAGAGAGAGCAAGAACTCAAAGAGAAACATGCAGGCTTGCCCAGCCAAGGCTACCAACTCCTTCCTGCCCACGGGGTCCTTCCCATCATAAATGACTCTTTACAACTCAACACTTCACTTACCTATCTCACGTTTTCGTTCATTGGTTGTACAGTCATGAAAAAACTCTGTCATCAGACTTTCCAATGCCCTTAGGGAGGCTTCTTCAGATGCCTAACAAAGAAATTTGAGGGGAAAAAATCAATAAACTGTATCTTTAGTTCTACTGTTCCCCAGTTCCTTCCAGGTCAGTCAACAGCAATAGTAATTTACTTCCTGAAAACACCCTGGTTCAACATTCTTCAAATACATGATATAAGCCATAAAAACTGAAGGGAATTTTCCAACTGGTTCGAAACCCAAAGTCTTAGTATACTCTATATATTCATGTTACTGTGCAATTGATTTTCAATTATTTAGGCTTTAAAAAAAGGAGCAAACAATTCAAAATTTAATTCTGGAAACACTGAAAGCAAACTAACAGCCCATAACCCTGACTGAATAGGCAGCATGAAGACATTCAGGGAAAAGATTAGGGTTCCTTATTGACTGTCTGTCAACAATACATTTGCCACATGTCTGAATAATTTTGATTCAGAGCAACTGCAGTTAAACTGCTGCATGGATTCCTGGGGTTTTTCCAGGTGCTTCACCAGTCATCTGTCCAGTCGACTCTCAACGTGATTGATTCACATGAGCAGTCAGCAGAGCTTAAGGTGCAGCTAAGAGCCACACTGAGCAGGAACTCAAAATCAGACAGCACCTCCAATCACAGACCCACAGGGGCAGCCCGACTCTCAGCAGAACAGCTCAGGTAGAGAATGAGAGGAGAGGGGACCAAGACCCCAGTGCTCACCACCCCCCTCTCTTTCATGTGGAGCCCCAAACCCACTTCCTCTTCTCCCATTGAAGTATGGGACCATCAGTTGCAGCAGAGTTTCAGTCAACACTCCTTCACACAACCCATCTGCAAAAAGTGAGCATTCCTAGGCCATTTCTGATTCCTCATTGGCATTAATCTACCCAGAGATAATTAAGAGCCAACAGCAGTTCTGACTGCTTAATTACCTCTTAATTCCCATCTTCCCACCCATCCTCTCCATCGCCCCTGGAGTGAGAGTTAACTTATAAAAAACTGTTTTAAAGCAGCAAGTCCCTATTCAAATGTGTTATGTAACAAACAAGAATATTACTGGAGGCCTCCACTTGGTAACTGACTTTTAATAAAACTGAAGAGGGGCCATCTCTGTGGATAAACCCAGCACGACTGCCAACTACTGAAGCTAAGTCAGGCCCGCATCAGCCATCCATCAACACGCCAACTAGCACAGGCCGGCTCACTGCTCAGCACACCAAGGCCACGGCGCGCAAGCACTGTCGGCACGCTGTCCCTCCCCTGCCATCGTCACGGTCTGATGGCTGTGCAATGACAACTGAACTCCGACACGCTGGGTGATAAAAAACAACAGTCTTAACACTTGTGAATATGAGGAATTTTCTTAACCAAATTTTGGATTTATGATAAAAATTAGCCCTCTACATCCTTTTCAAACCAATACATCATTTCAACTGAAAAATATCCTTGGATTGCAAGTTAAACTGTTTAATTTAAAACTATACAATTTTTTCAAATGTAGAAATAACTAGAATGTGAGACTAAAGTAAGACTGAAATCTTTTCAACCCATTTCAGGTTTCTGTGTTGCTCAAACCAGCCTCACTGCTCTCATTCGTTGACTTTCAAAATAAATGCTATAAATTCAAATTTCTAAAATAAATTTATATTAAAAAAGAATGTTTTGGTCTATTTCATGAATTGATTGGTGTATCATTTCATTTGAAAAAAAAGAATTTGCTGTTTAAAAAACATTTATAGGAAGATTTTAAAAAAATCAAAGGTAAATCTCACATGGTAAAACAACTTACTGACAAAAAATAAAAATAAATGTAACAGGTACTTGTTGAACTCAAGTCAATTATTCGGTTAAAATAAATCAATAGTTCTTCTGGACCCTAAATAGTTCTTCTGGAGCCTGAAAACGAAGGACGTATCTCCAAGCGGCACGTGCTCTCTTCTTGTCGTAAATCACTTTAGAGTAGATCCTGGGAAAAAACCTGAGCTCCCCACATTCAGGCAGTCAACCACCAAGATTCACTTCATGCTGGTTCTTAGGGCAGATGTTTGTGACCCTGACAACCACTGGCCCTGCATTAAAGGCTGTTGGGGCAAGCTCCCAACGATCTCCCCAAAGAATCCAACTGTATCTCCACTCTCAGTCCCATTCACCCTGCCTCCCTGCTCCACCCCCAAAAGCTAACACTCCAACAGAAAGTGGAAAGAAAAGGGAATCCACAAGGGTCACAGGATGGATGCTTCCACCAAATGATGGTTCATGAAAAAAGAAACTCTATAACCGAATCTGGTGTTTTTCACATAAAACAAATTATAATGTGCTGTTTGCATTTCAATCACTTCTATAATTATAATACTAATACCTACCTCATAGGGCCTTATGAGGATCAAATGAAATGACCTATGAAAGCTCTAAATTATCTAATCCCTAGTTAGTGCTGCTATCATTTTTATTTGGTATCATCTGGTATCTTAGATACCAAATGAACACAGACCACAACAAAACAACAGAAGGGGTCAGACCTACTTCAAAACTAGAGATTCATGCCCTCAGGCTGAAGAGCTTTCCAACAGGATTTCAAAATGAAACTATGTAAGGAAAGGAGACTGAGACTTTGTCAAGGTCAACAATCACAATAGAGATGCAAAGACAAAAAAACATGTTCAAGACCTACAACTGGTTAAAGGGTACTAGAAAATGCCCCCCATTTGGCAACAAGGCTGTTTCATGCCAGTGGTGAAGGGAAAATCCACATTCAGTGGGTTCAAGAATTAATGGTAAGTAAAAGATGTGGTAATATTCCCGACAGACTACACTTTAAAGTAATAAGGGGACAAAGAACATAAAACAAAGAACAAGAGTCATGATACAGGAGGAAGAAGAAGAGGCTTTAACTCCCACAGGCTACTCAAACACTGCCCTAACTTATGAGAAACACTGAGGAGTCAGGTACACCCAACTGCTTCCCACGTTACGCTTGGGATTTAAGGCCCAGAACTTGAAGAATTAGGGGCAGGTAAGATAAACTTCAAACCAAGTGAGACCAAAAAATTCCAGTTGACTTATACATAGAAAACGTGAGAGGTAAAACAACAAAGTTTCCAGAAGAGAATATAGGACATCTTCATGATCTTGGGATAGTAAAATTTCTTGGACAGGACACATAAAGCACTAAACATAAAGAAAAAGATTGATAAATCAAAATATTCACTAGCTGGAACAATGAAGAGTATAAAGAGAAAGCCACAAAACGGGAGAAGATATTTTCAATATAGACAACAGAGAACTCGCATCAGAGTACAGCAGGTCTGGGAGTAACATGGTTTTGTTCACCATTGATGATATGGTGTAGTAGTTTACTCTTGTTATCAATTAGCCTGTGGTAAAATTGGTTTCTTTATATATACATTGTTTCACTTGAAGTCACAGAGCCTGTGGAGGTCAAGTGAGGACTTCAAATCAGTAAGGAAAAGACAAACAATTCTTTTGACAGGCAAATAATAAGAGGGTATTCAAAAGGCCAATACATAAAATAAGTGTTCAACCTCACTAGTCATCAGTAAATGCAAATTAAAAACAAGACAGTGTACACATCCACCAAAATGGCTAAAATTCAAAAGACGGTCATAAGTATTAGTGAGGACGGGAAGCGACTAGAATGTGCATACACACTGCTGCTGGCGGGAGTGCACACGTGTGTAACCACTCTGGAAAATCACTTTGCAGCTGAGCCCATAAGTACTTTATGATCCTGCAATTCTACTCCTTGTTAATACATCCAAAAGAAATTTGTATACCGCACCCCCACCCCAGAAAAAAAAAGGGAAAAAAGTACACAAATACTCACAGCAGGCACCATTATTCATAATATCCAAAAAAGTCAAAAGAACCTAAATGTCCGTGAACAGTGACCAGTGAAATGGATAAATTGTGGCTTATTCATCAGAATACTGTAAAACGAGAATGAATATAAATACTGCTACATGCAACATGAATGAATCTGTCAAACACAATGTTGAGTGAAAAAAAGACAAAACATCATTATTCCTTTAATAATCTTCAAAAACAAGCAAAACGAATCTATGGTGGTATAATCAGAATAGTAGTTACCTTTGAGAAGGGGGGATTCTGGGATGCTGAATATCTTAGTGTTAGTTACACAATGATCACTTTACATTATGATTTGTGTCCTCTTCTGTAAGTATATATACACAATTTTTCAAAATTTAACAGTATTCCTATTTTTAACAGCTGAGTTAGTGAACTTAGAAATTGTGTTTTTCCTGTATTAGCACAACTACTAAGAACAATCTAGGTGCCTGCAGGTGAAGTCTAAACATGAAACTCCTGGATTCCTAGGAACCATCACCTGTTCTTCTTCAGAGATTCCAGGGTAGCAACACAAATTATTACAATCCCATCAGCCTCTGCTTCCGCAAGAGTTACCTGGCTTACCTCAACAGTAAATTAAAATCTTTGGGCAGGATGATGAGTTAAACTTGGCTCAGAATATACTCTTGGAGAGCCGTGAAATATCTAAAATAACCAAACTTTTCTGTTCCAGCAAGAGTTAAAATCTGCAAAGTGGAGGTCTCAACTGTGCCTGCCTTAATTTATCTGCTCCTTTTATTGCACTGTTCATGACTCAGTTTATTATGAAACTATACTACTGACTCATTTATTATGAAATTACTAAGTCAACCAAGACCCATAATCACGTAATTAGGAGAAAAATTTGAAAGAAGGACAGAGTCACATAATTTGAAATCTTCTTTGACACTTTCCAAACCCTCTATGCCCACAATGTTATCAGGTCTGACTGCTTGTTTGGCACTATCTCTTAGATTTGCAGCTTTCCCTTACTACTACTTCTACCAGGCCCTAACCACCTCCCGCCTAGATGACTATAATTTTCTTTTTAACCTGGTCACCTTGATGTCAGCTTCCCCAATTCTAATCCAATCTGTATTTCGCCACCACATAAATTCTCATAAATATACATTTTTTGCCACAATTATTTTATACCTAGCTTTAAAGAGCC